CATGCATTTTAGCCATGCCTCATTTTGCTCAATTTGACAATTTCTAGCTCTGTTTTTGCAAGGGCTGATTCTGTGAGAACAGCACCATCTACTGGCCTGGCATATGTACTACAGCGTCTCTAGGGCTTTCGAACGGCAATGGCCGTGGCTGTCTCCTCCTGATTGGTGGAGTTGGCCCAATAGCCGTAGCGCCACCGTCCTGACGTCAGGACAGTGTTCAAATCTGGATCAGTTTTTATCAGATCCGTTGCAGCCCCTTTTTTAGAGATTTGGGTATGGAGGAAAATAGAGAGGGTTGTGTTTTCTGACACTTGGTGAGTTCCCTGGAACACCGGGGACACATATTCATGTAGAAAAGACGTACAGAAGTGCATTTTGCATGGTAGGTCCCCTTTAAACAAAAATTATATTGTTACTTTTTTTACCACCGTTTCAGTTTCTTAGTTATTGTGTTTAATAACGTGTGCATACTGAGCAATTCTTTGATACATTTTGCTGTTGTAATCATGTACATTTCCCCCGTTGCGGGACAAATAAAGGATTTCTGATTCTAAAAATATATGAAACATATTCTTTCATCGTCTTATCTAAAGTAATGTGTCCATCAGCCTCTAGTCTCCGTACCATGGCGGTGATTTCGTCCATGCCCTGCAGGATCTCCACGATCTTGCTCTTGTGCGACGGCTCTACTCGAGCGAAGCATCGAGCGTTGGTGACGGCGTCGACCTGCTCGGCCGGCGACAGCTCGTCAAACTCGCGCCCGGTGAACGCCAACGCCTCCACGTCGTCATCCTCCCCGAAGATGCCGATGCGGCGGCAGATGGCGACGGCGGTGCCCTTGTTGTCTCCGGTGATCATGATGACGCGGATCCCCGCCTGCCGGCACAGCTTAATGGACGCGGCCACTTCCAGTCGGGGGGGGTCCAGCATGCCCACGCAGCCCACGAAGGTCAGGTCGGACTGGAGAGGGAAGAGAGAGGGAGAGGGGTTTTGTTTTTATATTCAACATCATTTAAATGGTAGTGTATAAGTACGTCCCACGCAGCCCACGAAGGTCAGGTCGGACTGGAGAGGGTTTTTTTAATAATTGTTTTTATGAGTGAGTGAGGGTTTCAATCACCCTACATTCAACATAATTTGTATTTCTTCCAAAAAATGTATTAAACATTTAAAAAAAATGAACAATAATAAATCAATTGAATTAAAGAAACACAGAAAAGGATATAAGCAAAAAACAGTTGATGAAAAATGGTTATCGTTACATAATATTGAATCCCCACACACTGACCTCGTACTGGGCGAACTTGACGGTCTCGGTGAGGTTCATGTCCTCCACTCGTGGGGGGGTGTCCCTGGTGGCGAGGGCGAGGCAGCGCAGCGTGTCGCGCCCCGTCCCGTAGTCTCTGATCGTCGCCAGGATCTGATCCTTGATGACTTTAGTCAGCGGCACTTTGCTGTTTCCCACTCTGACGTGCGTGCACCTCTCTATCACTCCCTCTGGGGCGCCCTGAGAGAGAGAAGAGGGGGAAATGTTTAACAAATCTGGCAGAAACGTAACCTGGTACAATCAGATTCACAATCACGTTTAGTGCCAGGTACGTTTACACATACAAGGAATTTGCTTTGGTATCTGGTGCTGCCAACATAAACAATCTAAAAAAATAAGTTGCACTGTAGGTAAAAAAGAAAGAAATATATAAGGATAATAGAAAATAAGTATTTTTAAGAAACAATTGAGCATTGAGAAAGGGATGCTAAAGACTAGTATGTACACCAAATGTATGCTCCATTTATACTTTAACTCCTCATCTAAAGAAACATATATTTTTCTCTGAGTTTACCTTGACGAACATCTTGCCCATGGAGGAGCGGGACTTGTTGGGGGTGCAGTACACGGACATGGACTTCCTGTCTCTGGAGAACTCCAGCGTGAACTCCTTCTTCATCAGCTGCTTGATCACCTGCTCACACACACACACAGAGAAAACACACACTGAGTGAGAAAATCCTGCAGAGTACACACATCCTTTACTCAAGTAGAAGTACAGATACTCGTGTTTAAAAATACTCTGGTAAAAGTAGAAGTACTGACTAAACTTCTTTACTGAAGTAAAAGTAAAGAGGGCTTTGAAATGTACTTAAGTAAAAAGTACCCATAACTAGCAGCTGTTTTAAAGAGTACCTGACCTCCCTTTATATTAATAGAACAATAATGTCATTGTTAGCTAATGAATGTTTCCATGCTGAACAACGGCAACATGACAACGTTTTCATTGGTCCCTCTTCTTTAGAGAAGACCAGGAAATGATGGATACACGGATCGTGTTCAAATCAATAGGCACGCAATGACTCTAAATAATAATGATCACGCCACCAAACACACATTCAAACTAAAGGAACCAGCCTGTTTGGAAAATGAGAGAAGTAGAAAGTACAGGTATTTGTGTTCAAAATGTAAGAAGTAGAAAGTACAGGTATTTGAGTTCAACATGTAAGAAGTAGAAAGTACAGGTATTTGTGTTCAACATGTAAGAAGTAGAAAGTACAGGTATTTGAGTTCAACATGTAAGAAGTAGAAAGTACAGGTATTTGTGTTCAAAATGTAAGAAGTAGAAAGTACAGGTATTTGTGTTCAACATGTAAGAAGTAGAAAGTACAGGTATTTGTGTTCAACATGTAAGAAGTAGAAAGTACAGGTATTTGAGTTCAACATGTAAGAAGTAGAAAGTACAGGTATTTGTGTTCAAAATGTAAGAAGTAGAAAGTACAGGTATTTGTGTTCAACATGTAAGAAGTAGAAAGTACAGGTATTTGTGTTCAACATGTAAGAAGTAGAAAGTACAGGTATTTGTGTTCAACATGTAAGAAGTAGAAAGTACAGGTATTTGTGTTCAAAATGTAAGAAGTAGAAAGTACAGGTATTTGTGTTCAACATGTAAGAAGTAGAAAGTACAGGTATTTGTGTTCAACATGTAAGAAGTAGAAAGTACAGGTATTTGTGTTCAAAATGTAAGAAGTAGAAAGTACAGGTATTTGTGTTCAACATGTAAGAAGTAGAAAGTTCAGGTATTTGTGTTCAAAATGTAAGAAGTAGAAAGTACAGGTATTTGTGTTCAAAATGTAAGAAGTAGAAAGTACAGGTATTTGTGTTCAACATGTAAGAAGTAGAAAGTACAGGTATTTGTGTTCAACATGTAAGAAGTAGAAAGTACAGGTATTTGTGTTCAAAATGTAAGAAGTAGAAAGTACAGGTATTTGTGTTCAAAATGTAAGAAGTCAAAGTAGTGGAGTAAAGTACTGATACCAAGAAAATGTACTTAAGTACTGTAACGAAGTATTTGTACTCCACTACTTCCCACCTCTGCTGCTCACACACAGAGTGACAGACAGAGAGCATGCTGGGTAATGGCAGGTGTTTGATGTGACTCACGGAGTTGCAGGCCATGGCTCTGTCGATCTTCGTCAGGTTGTGGACTTCGGTGTCGAAGGCGTTCATCTTCTCCACCAAACAGGTGAGCGCCGTCTCCGTGGACTCGCCCACCTTCTCATACACACCCTTCGCCTGGAACAACACAACACATCATGTTAATGTACTTTTTATCTACATCTAACTACTTTTTCTGTCATTTTCTGGTGTTGTATTATTATTTTAGGGCTTTAGGATCTTTACTATTTTCTCCAGCTTCAACTAGTTAATGAATCAAATAACTTTGTACTGGATCACTGTGAGTTAATTTCATTGTCAAAATATAAATAGACACACATTTATAGAACGAAATGAGTATATAAAGCGCACAAAAAATACTTTGTGTAACTTTTTTATTATAATCTTTTTTTTATGCATGCTTCTTAGTTAAAGGTGGGGTAGGTAAGTTTGAGAAACCGGCTCGAGATACACTTTTGGTTATATTCCATGGAATGCTCTTAACATCCCGATAGCAATGAATATCTGAAGTGCTTTGACAAAAAATCCATAAAAAAATGTCATCTGTGGAAGCCGTAGTACTGTAAAAAGTACGACCAATCATCTGAGCCGGCCCGGCTAAAATAACTGGATGGCCTACCTGCCTGTCAGCCTTCCATCTGTGCACAAACTTATCTCGTGCCCTCATTGGTCATGTGCGCGTTCGTGTGTGTTGGAGGAGGGGCTCTGTAAGGAAGTGGCAGATTTTTTCCGGCTGTGTATTTTCAAATTCTAGCGATCTCGAGCCGGTTTCTCCAAAATTACCTACCCCACCTTTAACATTAAGCTTTCTTTGGCTCTTTCTACGGTGGCCCTGAAGTGCAAGTCAAAACAACATTTCACAAAACAAGTGTTCTCCCTAAAGGAATACCCTTTCCGTAAAAGTTGAAATGTTGTAGCATTTTGTGAAATGCTGTGGTGTTTTGTGAAATGTTGTTTTGACTTGCACTTCAGGGCCACCGTACTTTTCTGCTGTAACAAATGTAAATTTCCCCTCTGTGGGACGAATAAAGGTATTTTGATTCTGATCAAGTCTTTTCTTTTCTTACAGTGGACCTATCATGCTATATTTGAATAATATAGTGTAGGACCATACCTATATAAGGCATATTTATACTTTTTTTTTTTCAAAATACCAAACAGATCATGCATTTTAGCCATGCCTCATTTCGCTCAATTTGAAAAATGTTAGCTCTGTTTTTGCAAGGGCTGATTCTGTGAGAACAGCACCACCTACAGGCCTGGCATATGTACTACAGCGTCTCCAGCGCTTTCGAACGGCAATGGCCGTGGTTGTCTCCTCCTGATTGGTGGAGTTGGCCCAATAGCCGTAGCGCCACCGTCCTGACGTCAGGACAGTGTTCAAATCTGGATCAGTTTTTATCAGATCCGTTGCAGCCCCTTTTTTAGAGATTTGGGTATGGAGGAAAATAGAGAGGGTTGTGTTTTCTGACACTTGGTGAGTTCCCTGGAACACCGGGGACACATATTCATGTATAAAAGACGTACAAAAGTGCATTTTGCATGATAGGTCCCC